CCCAGGCTGATCTAGAACTCACAGCGATCCTCCTGCCTCTGCCTCCCAAGTGCTGGGATTACAGTCATGTGCCACCAAAGCTGGCAGGTTTTGCCATTTAAATTATAGATAACTACCATTTGTTTTCAGTGTCTTTTTATCCAATTTTGTGCCCCGCCTTCACTGATTTGTGCATCTGAATCAATAACAAATTCAACATTTATTAGTGCCACTTTATTCACCTTGTTCATATATAGTAGACATACACCTGTGCAGTGAACGGCAGCATTTCTGAAGTCAATGCCGGTCAATAGGCAGATGTGAAGGTGGCTGAGCCCTGAAGCCATATCAGTGTTTTGGTCCATCTTGTGCTGCTGTAATAGAGTGCCTGGGACTAGCTGATAAGTGAACAAAAATTTATTTGGTTCATGGTTCTGGAGGCTGAGAAGTCCAAGACTAAGGGGCCCCACCTGGTGAGAACTGTACCATCCCTTGACAGAAGGGCCGAAGGGCATACCTGCAAGATGAAGGGCCTGCTCTAACAATGTGATCTAATGTAATCGCAGCATCATTCCATTGATAAGGGCTCCTCGTCACCTCTGCAGGCCCTACTTCTCAGGCCTGTTGAAGGGGACATCGATGTACAGAGAAGACAGCAGAACTTGCAGGTGCAATGAGGGTGGGTGGGTGGGTGGTTGAACATGATGGTATCAGGCCAGGGATGAGAGAAAAATCCTTATTCATCACAGTAGTAAAACAAATTTATAAAAAATATGAGTGGAGGGCCAGGGATTTAGCTCAGGGGTTCTGCAGCCTGCCTCAAAAGCACAAGGACCCTTAGTCAATTCCCAGTACCCCCCCAAATGAGTGGAAATGTAGAATATATTCATATGATTAAAAATATGCTAGCAAATGGTAAAAGAAACTTAAAATTATTGAGAAGTAGCTTTTGAAAATTTGTTTGTTTGTTTTGCGGTACCGGGTATTGAACTGAGGACCTTGTACTTGCCAGGCAGGTGTGACACCACTGAGAGGTGCTACTGAGTTAATCCCCAGCAAGAGTAGCTGCTTCAAAAAGAGGGATTCACTTGGATGTGGGCCTCTGGGAGATGGTGACAATTACATATTTTTTTTGTTTTTATTAGAAACTTTTGAAGGCAATTAGGCTCCTTTTTTTTCCAAAATTCAGATTTATTCATTATTCTTAATTAAATTGAGTTTATTTTTGACTGATGTATAAAACCAAAAAATTATACATAGTAATGAGGTAATATGTGATAATACAATATATGTATACATTCTATAATGTTTAAATCAGGTTATACATATTTACATCAAACATCATTTTTTTATGGTGAACACTCAAAAAATTCTTTTTTTTAGCTTTTTGAAAAATTTGACTTTTAAACTATGTTTATGTACTGCTCAATGAAAATTAAACATATTTAAAGAAACAAAGAAAAAACAAAAATAGCTTAAACAAAAGCTGTGGATTTAGCTCAATGGCACTGCACCTTCCCTGCAAGCCCAAGGTTCTGAGTTTGATCCCTGGTACCAAAAAAAAGAAAAAGAAGAAAAAAAATGCATAATGGTTCCAGCGATCTGTTGTGCTGATTCCTAGGGACAGATTTGATTGAGTTTCTTGTTGCACCCCTAAAACTCTGCATGAAGCATTTGTAGCTGTTTGCAACTCAGAACGCCAAGCTGAGAATTTGATAGTGTTTCTATTTTAGGTAAGAAGTTCTCAATTATTTCTCAGTACAGGAAGACTGTCTCTCTCTCTCTCTCTCTCTCTCTCTCTCTCTCTCTCTCTCTCTCTCTCTCTCTCTTTTAGTCGAGGGATACTCTCTCTCTCTCTCTCTCTCTCTCTCTCTCTCTCTCTCTCTCTCTCTCTCTCTCTCTTTTGTAAAGAGTCAGGATAACCAGTGGTAAAGAGCACAGACCTTGGAGTCAGATTTGGCTCAGGTCTCAGCTTTGCCACTTACTGAATGACTCACGGGCATATCCTTAATCTCTTTGCACCTATTTTGAAAAATTTTTTTCAGTACTGAGGATTGAACCCCGGCATGTTTGGTAAGCATTATACCACTGAGCTATATCCCCAGCACTTTGGCATGTTAAATAAATGAATTTTCACAAGATAGTAGTATCCTCTTTGCATCTATAGATTAAGAAAATACTTAACATGATGTTACCGTGAATTCAATAATGCTTTGTAAAATAACTCGTATTTTGATCATCATCTGTAGGCTCTGTAGAATCTGCATGACAGTATATCTGTGGGAGATGATATTACTCATGCATCTACAGACATTCTTTAGTGTGCAAACAAATTTGCAATCAATTTGAAGTCAAGTTTACAATACAAATGCATTTTGTCCACTGATTCTCAATGTCTGCAAAGTAGCACTTGTAATTTTAATTGTCTAGAATGTTTCTGGAGAAGCCACAGTAACATGATTTTTCCAAGATAACCTTGTAAGTATTGAATAAACAAAACCAACACATGCTACAGGCGTTTGGCACCCTGGAAACGTAACAAAAGGTTATTGTATAAAGTGGTGAGAGGCATGTTTAGAATGCAATTGCCACTAAGAAAGCTTGAATCTAATTTATTACATTGCATGAGAATTGACTGCATTAACAGGAGTAGTTAGTGGAGAACAGAAGTAGGGAATGATCAGATAATAAGAGGTATCAGTGGATCTCTTGCATTGTGTAGGGGAGAAACCACCTTGACTTATGAAAACAAACATTTCAGTCTCTTTAACACAAATAACTCTACACTGTGTAGATACACAGCCTCATTAGTTTTTTTTTTAAAGTCTAACTTTGTTCATTCTAATTAAAGTTTGCCAAACAACAATCTAGCAATAATTTGCTTTCCATGTAGGTTTGTCTTTGGGGAAAAATGTGTTTAGCACTATCTCTTTTCATTTTAATCAGATAAATTGGCAGTCTGGGTTATACAGCTGTTGCTATGAATGAATTCATTCAACAGGAGACTGCAATGGAATTCTAAATTCTGGGAACCCAGAAGGAGTCAATGAAAGGACAGATGAAAGGATGAGATCGGAAATGAAGGGAGCATAGGCACCACAGCTCCATTCCCAGATGGTATCTGTAGGTGGCATCTTCTTCATCTAATCTTTTGTAAAAGCAACATGGCACAGTACAGAACCCCTCCCAAAAGGTTTGCAACTCTGGATTTTCCTGTCAGGAAAAGTTACCTGCTACCTTGCTCTCCCCAGGAAAAGTGGGCTAAGTTGCATTTTCTACTTTGATGCCTAGTTCTGATTTGGAATGTGTTATGGTTTAGGTATGGTATATTCCACAGGACTAACATGTTAGGCACTAGTTCCCTAATGCAGCAGTATTCAGAGTGGTGGTTTGGGAGGTGATGAATCAGGGGTGCTCTAACTTCATCAGTGGATTAATTCACTGATAAGCTAATAGGTAAATGAGGTTATTAGGAGGTGAGCCTAATGAGATAACGCTGGTCACAGAGGGCCTGGCCGTAAAGAGTATATTTTTCCCTAGCTCCTTCCTCTCAGGCACTCCCTGCTTCCTGGCTGCGATGAGGTGAGCAGGTTTCCTTTGCCATGCCCTTCTACCATGAAATTTCTGCCTCATTACAGGCCAGAGCAACGGAGCCCACTGATCACGGGCTTAAACCTCTGAAGCCAGGAGCCAACATAAGCCTTTCCTCCTTCAAAATGTTTTTCTCAGGCAATTTATCATAGTGATGGAAAGCTGACTCATGTAGAACGTGTGCTGCCTCAATTCTTTTCACATACAATATTGATACATTCAGTTCAACAATCATCTTGAGCAATGAGCACATTTTATTGTGAGGTGTAAGATTCAAAGATGAGTTACAAAAATGGCGGAAGCCACTCAAGTGCCCATCATCAGAATAATGGATAAGCAAAATATGATATATATGTAAAATGGAATGCTATTCAGATATTCTGCTACATACAGCAACATGGGTGAACCTTAAGGGCATGATGCAGAAACAAGCTAATTACAAAAAGTCCAATGTACTACAATTCCACTTGTACAAAGTACCTAGTCTAACTCATTAGAAACAGAAACTAAAATGGTTGTTGCCAGGGGATTGGTACGAGACTGGAATGGAGAGTCAGGACTTGTGAGTACAGAGTTTCAGTATGGTATGATGAAAAGTGTTTTCAGAGATGTATGGTTACTTGAGTTATACTCATGGTTGATGAGTATATTTAATCACTGAATTCTGTACTTAACATAGTTAAGATGGTAAAGTTTACGTTATACGTACCTTGCTACAATAAAAGGAGAAAGCAGGATTTTGGTTCTTGTCCTAAAATTCTTGCTATAGTTTCAACGAGGCGTGAACAGGACAGTGGAAGCACATTATGGAGATAAAGACTAAAGGGTGGCTAATACCGAGGAGACCTCGGACAGTGATGGTGAATTTAGAGCTTTCAGTGACAACAAACAGCCCACTGCAGCACGCGTGCCATAGGTTCACCACCCCTGCAAAGATCCCACGACAAAACTTACACAAAAGGGCTGGGGATTTAGCTCAGTGGTTCTGCTAAATCCTGCCTGGCAAGCTCAAGGTCCAGCGTTCGATCCCCGGTAGAAACAAAACAAAACAACAACAAAATTGACACAAAAGGTAGTTCAGGGGCGGGGATTTAACTCAATGTCACCGCGACTGCCTCGCAAGTGCAAGGTCATGAATTCGACCCCCGGTACCAAAAAAAGCTGCAAAAGGCAGTTCATTAGATAATTATCTCAGATACTTAGAACCCATTATTAGAAGCCTCCTGATGCTGCTAGAAAAACCAAAGGCTCAGGAGAACCACACTGCCAGCAGTCTCGTTCCCAAGGTTGTACCAGAAAACCCTCTCTGGCCCAGCAGATGGCGCCAGCTCCCGCGGTGCACCTCCAGGAGCTCAGGGGGCGCTCTAAATAGCCCTTTCTTCCTCCCGCCTCTATGACCCTTCCTTCCGCCTCTCCGGCCCGCCTCTCCGTGCCCCAGCATACCCTGCGCAAGAGTGGCTTGCTGGTCCGCTGGAAGCATGGCGGCTTCTTCGACTGCTGAGAAGGAGAAGGAACGGCTGGGAAGCAATTCGGCATCGGTAGGCAGTAACAGTACGCGGGAGCGGCTGTTGTCTGCGCTTGAAGATTTGGAGGTCTTGTCGAGGTGATGGTACGGGGCCGGGAACCCGGCTAGGGCCTTTCTGGGGCGGAGACGGACTCAACAACTGACTTGGCTCTGTCTCAGCGTTGGGCCCAGGAGCTTGGAGGGGAGGGTCGAGTTTGGTGTCACTAGGTGCCCGAGTGTCCTGGAAGTAGGGTCTGCAACCTTCTGGGACTCTGGGTGGCTTCCCCCCCCACCCCCGTTAGAAGATATTTTGTTAACGACAGGGATCCTGGAGACCCAGGACTGCCGTAGCAGACCTTAAGGAATACCTGGGTTTGAACCTCTTTCGTTCACGGGCACTAACCAGCATTTAAGGAACGCCTCCTGGGTGCCAAGCTCTGGGAGATAACAGTGAAGGGGAGGCTGGATGCCATCGTGGAGGAGGCCATTGTCAGAAGAGTTGGCGGTTTAAACCAAGTACTGGGTCCCTTTTGATATGAGGGGTGAGCTGCAGGGTACTGGAGCATGGGGACATCTATTCGGATTGTAGTCAAGGCAGGTTTTCTGAAGCAAGGGCTGTTTAGGAAGAATGAGTTCACCAGACTTGTTGGCAGTCAGCAGAATTGCAAGTTGTTCGGGATGGCTCGAGTGAAGCCTGTGTGACAGAGAAAGGAGATGGAAGTGGGTGGCATTCTCCATATTCGGCCACCTTTTCATGGTCAGTCTTTCAAGTAGGAGCCTTCCTTAACACTCTCAGCTTGGGGGTTAAAGTGCATTGATTCTTCCTCTTGAAGTGTTGCTCACATTTGCCTTCTCGTTACTGTTCCCTCTTGGCGTAATTTTTTTAAACTGCAGGCTCCCAGCAGTTTTATTCGTCTTCATGCATTTGTGTTTTATTCACCCATAATGCAAAAGAATGGACTTCATGTTTTAAAAGGCATCTCATAACACTTTTCTGCTGAAAGAAAAATTTGATACGTTCCTGTTGTCCAAGGAGATAAAGTAGAAATTCCTTAACTGAATGTGCAGTAAAGGTAGACAGACTCTCTCCTCACACACTCCATCCTGTTGTCCTCATTTGCTGTATACCTCTCAGCCTTCCCTTCACCTTTGTGAGTACAGTCGTACAGTTCTACCGAATGTGTATATGCAGTGGTGATCCCATAAGATTAAAATACAGCTGAAAAAAAATCTATGGTCATTATAACATTGTAGCACAATGCATTGCTGTAAACCTACTGTAATCCCAGTTATAGAAAATTATAGCATACACAATTATGTACAGTGCATAGTAATGATAAAGATAGTTACTGGTTTATGTATTTACTAGACTTTTATCATTATTTTAGAGTGTACTTGTAGAAAAACTTTACTGTAAAACAGTATGCTGCTTTATGCCAGCAGCAGCCTCATATATCCTGTGCTTATGTCTTTTGATTTCTTCTCATTCACTGATTACCCTTCACCACTGATGCTGATCCTTTTAGAACTTTCAATGATGACAAACAGCCTGCTGCAGCACACATGCTATAGGTTCACCACCACTGCCCTGTATCATCTAGGTTTGTATAACCTTCTCTGAAGCTTCAACAATGGCTAAATTGTCAAATGACATACTTCCCAGAAGCTTTCTACCCTTGAGCTAGGTATGACTGTACTTCTACACTAAAGCCAGCTGTCCTTCATGTTCAGTGCTTACTGCACTTCCAGCTTGGTGAGTGTTTCAGTCCCTTCAGAATCCAGCTCAGATATCACCCTTTCTATAGTTAAAGCTTTAGCATAAATCTTATCTACTGTGTTTTGAACTATATCTGATTTACTTATAATTAGCATTTTATCTCTGCTGTAATTTGAGTCTGCAACAGATTATTGACCAGAGTTACTAGATCAGTATGATATCAACAGATGTGAAAAAAAAAAGCAAACCCTAAAAACAGAAGAAGTTAATGTGTTATTCATTTAATCCATTGTTTTGTTTTTGTTTGAGTTGGTGTCTTACTATATTACTGTGGTCTTTCTACCACAGCTCAGTTGCAGGTGTATCTACACCTGGCTCTAATCCATTGTTTAAACTATTTTAGAGTCAAATACCACCCAATAAGGAATTTTTCAGCCAGCCAGTGGTCAGTATGAACAAAAAAATCTCAGGCTTAAGGCAGCTGTTTTAATGCATTGCCTTTGTGTACATGTTTATGTAGATTTATACAAGTGCTATTTTCTTCCTTTGCTGCATTTGTTTGTGATGGAGAACTTATTTATGTCTTCATTAGCTAATCCTGTTAAATATTTGCCTGTATTATTTCTTAGTAAAAAAGACAACAGCAAGTATGATGTTTTCAGTTAAATTATTCATGTCTCTATTTCCTGTGACCTGACTGTCTTTGGTACAACTAACTGCAGCTTCATTTAGTTCGTGTTGAATTATTCTTTGTAAGTTATTAAAATCGAAATTAACATTCTATGAATGTTGCCTAGACCACTGCTCTTCTAAAAAGGACTGACTTTCATTTGAAAAAGTCCACATTCTTATTCTTAACTACTGCTTTTAAAATCATTGATCAACCAGACTCAGTCTCCGAAGTGCCTTCAAGAGACCATGTAGTTGTGATATAAATTTATATTTCACTGGGAATCAGAGCAGTTACTAATTGGAAAATACCTCTGTTGCTCTTGCATGAACTGGTTTTTCCAGTTACTCCCTTGATCTATTTCTTCTGGAAGAATGGAAGAATTCTTTTCTGAAGGCCATATCTAATACTTGTTTGGCTTCTAACATCTTTGCTAAAGAAACTTGATGATGCTGTTCAGTGTATTTAGTTGAGTCAAATATTCATTGTTTGGTATGGATGTAGTGGTTAATTTTTCTGTAAATATGTTCTCTTTGTGAAGAGGTAACACCCTTTTTAGGAAACAGCAGCTGTCTTATATTCTGAATGGTGTTCTTATAATTTAAAATCTTGCCTTACTGTATTCACAAAGCTATTACTTCTCAAAGGTTGTTCCCCTGCCTTTTGTCCCTTTATTGGTAAGTTGAACTCAGGGCCTGCTCAGTGAGCACATCCCCAGCCCTTTCAAAACAAACAAACAAAAATTTTTTTTTCTTTTTATTGAGTTTATTGGTACAATCTAGGTATACAATACAGTTACATTCATCATTGGGATTCTGTACCTTTACATAATAGGTCTTGATTCTCATTTTTTCCCCTTACCCCTGCCCTCCCTTCACCCCTCCTCCCCTCCCCATTTTCAAACACTTTATTTCCATTTTTTCAGTTTCTCGTATTTTTTTCCTCTCCCTTATTACCTTTCCCCCACCCTTCCCACTTTCCTTACACCTTTAGCCC